CCCCATGATCCTTATCCTGCTACAAGGTAATGTCCAAACTCGAAATTTCTACTCATTTCATAAAGAACCGACTATTTGCTAACCGACTATTTGATCTTTAAAATTTAGTTCCATGTACTCAAATGGATAAAGCGTCCAAAGCTACCACGCGTATTCAAACAGATGAGCAAATAATTTAAAAAAAAAAGTGCAATAAAGAAAGTTTTTCACTCGTATATACACAAAAGAAACTGTAGGTTGAGGGTGAGGCAGATTATACGATTTTATTTCCATTACGCAAGAATATTCTAAACCCTAACAAAGCAACACTCCAAGTTTAAAAAGTTAGGGTTTTTTCAGGTAAAGATACAAAAAAAAAATTCTAGGGTTTTCTTTTCGTATTGCTACTCGTCGAGGGAAAACAGAACCCTAGGGTTTCAATGACGCGTCGTGAAGATCTCAAACTAATCGGGGGAGGGGGGAGAGACTTACTGCCATGATAAAGGGGAAGCGGCGGGGAGCGAAGAGATGAACAAAGCCAAAAATTTCCAAGTTCTCCTCGGCACGAAGAAGAGAAAAGGAGGGTTTTTTTTTTATTTAATTAAGTTATTATTTAACCTTCTAGGGTTTAAGGTCGGTGTAAAGGTTTTCAGGCCTAGAGCTGCTGCTGGGCTTTCTGATGGGCTTTATAGGATGGAGGAGTTAAAAACGCGGCCCAAAAGACTGCGCTTTCAAATTATGCCAGCTTACGTTTTCATTTTGGCTAAATATCCATATTGATATTTTAATTTCACCACATTTACCAAGAAGGTATTTTAATTAGGCAAACCTGTTTTAAGGCATTTTAATTGATTCAACTTACCAATAAGGTCATTTTTCCCGTCGGCGACCAGTTTTCTCGCCTCGTCACGTGCGTGGCACGTGATGACTTAAACTGGTTTTTAGCTGCTGATGTGGCACAGATCTGTCCTATTTTGGGTGAATTAAGATTTTTAGATGGTTAATTCCCGCCTTTAAACACCAGCATGTCAGAAAATTCGTGCCACATCAGCAGCTAAAAAACAGTTTAAGTCATCACGTGCCACGCACGTGACGAGCTCTCGTCGAAAAACTGGTCGCCGACGAGAAAAATGGTCTTGTTGGTAAGTTGAATCAATTAAAATGCCTTAAAGCAGGTTTGCCTAATTAAAATACCTTCTTGGTAAATGGAATGGAATTAAAATACCAATATGGGTATTTAGCCTTTTCATTTTTATCAAGCTTTTCTACCCCCTCGCCCTCAATTTGACTTTTCAATTCAAAGATCAAAAAGAAATACATGCTTTTGTTGCAAAATAGCTCGACATTATTTATCAAAGCCAGGGTCCGGCATTTCTTTTTTGGAGGATAAGCGACGCGTACCTTCGATTTTTACATAAATTGGAGATGGATAGTTTAATTTTACCGGAACATGCCGTGACAAGATTTACACGGGTAAGGTTCATGATTTATTTTTAGTTCATTTAGATGGCTTTTTTGCATAAAAAATGAGGAGATATTTTTTTTAATATGCGGAGTTCTTCCTATATCTTCTCACGATTGCGCAAAACTCGCTTCTCGACGAGTGGGGCCCAAACTTTAAGGCATCAAAATGCCCAAAAATATATTAGAGAACCAAGCTAATATAGGATCAATACTTAGGGGTATCCAAGTGTTGGAAAAGTAACTTGAGACTACAAAGTAAAAAATACGTAAACTTTGGGGGTAGCAAAGTGAAAATAAGCCACTAAATAGCCAAAAGGAATTCTTTTATTTTAACCCCTTACATGTTTTACATTTAGTTAGTGCTTCAGATAATTGAAATTGTTATTAAGTCCTCCAATTGTTAAGCTATTTTCAAATTAGTCCCTCAAACCATTAAAATTTTTATTAGGTCCTTTGATTTTTAACCTATTAATATTTCAAATCAATAGTAGACTTAGCAAATCATAGCGATCTATTTGGGACCTATTTGAAACAACCTATGAGAATTGAGGGGCCTACAGCTACAGAAATGTCAATGTCCAATTTTTAACAATTCTCTATGTTTCTTTACATAAACAAATTAATTTCTCATTGATGAGCAATTTGGGGACCAAATTGAAAATAAGCCACCAAAATAACCCAAAAAGGCTTGCTCCATATTAGTCCCTAAACCCATCCTTCAAATCATTAAAACTATTATTTGGTCCCCAATTCATAAGCTATTTTAAAATTAGTCCCTCAAAAGGATTAAACTTACTACTAGCTCTCTTGATTCTTAAGTTACTTTGAAATTAGTCCTTCAAATCATGAGTAGAATCAACAATTGGAGAAATCTATCTGAATCAAACTATGACAATTGAGGATGTAACTGAAACTTCAATATGGGACAGCTCTACGGGTCACGCCCGTGCAATGCACGGGCTCTCTAACTAGTAATTGTATCTGGAGCATGGGGTAGGAAATGAGAAGAGTAAATAAAGAAATCATTTACTAAAGTTTCAGAACCAGTGATTGAGTCAAGAGTGGGTCATCCTTCTTTATTTTTTATTCATCCTTATAAGAACTCTCAGGGCTGAGTTTAACCTTCTTATGCAACATTTGCCAACGCCGGCTTTTCCTCAAATAAGAGTTATGCTAATGTTTTTGGTTTTTTAGATATTAGTCCCTCATATATTCAATGATTTCATATTAGTCCGTCAAACCTTTGAAAGTGCTCACAAGTCCCTCAAATTCCAAAGGCTCCTCCAAATTGATCCCTCAACGACCAAGATGCTCCTCAACTTATGTTTTAGCAATTTCAAGGATTTGAAGGACTATTATGGAATTACTGAAGATTTGAAGAGCTAATAATATATTTAAAAAAAACCTACTTTCTTAGCGAGAGTGAAAAAAAACATACAGAAGGAAAGCATAAGGAAGCATTTTATGGCTATGGCAGTGAGTCAGGGATAATCCGGAAATAATATCGATGAAGGGTAGTAGGGGCAATTTGGTCATTTCACAACCCCCCCAAAAGCTTCTGAGGTGATTTGCGCTCATACCATTCTACCTCCTTAAAGCATTATCGACGTTAGCAAAGGCATTATGTTGCAAAGTGCACATATAAGAATCAACCGGCTTAAACTTACAGAACTCCATCCAAAGGTAAAAAAGATTCACATATCAAAGCACAGTCACAACTGATGTAAACTCTTATGAACTGTGTCATAATTGCACTGGTCAACACTTTGAAGCACAAAGAGAATAGGGTATCATCAAACACACCCCAATTATTACCAGAAATAAAACAGGTCGGTTTGGTACTTATCATGCCGCGAATGGCTGAAAAGGACATACAAATATACCTCTGCATTGAAGAACAGACGTAACGATTCCCATAGCTGAAGGGATACTTTTGAACCAATTGGATGTAAATTATCAATATCAGTAACTGAAGAATAAATTATCTTTCAATCGGAAATGAACTCTCAAATAGCATCGACCACTGAGATCGTCCTTGAAATTGATCAGATAGGCCGCTGCTTTGCAATTGGAACAGCAGTGAGAATGGAAGGATTATTCTGGCATCAACTTTCAGTTCTTAGCATCTTGGAATGGAGGCAAGCCCCAGTTGCTCGGGTTGAAATCCAATAAGGAAGTGAGGACTTCATCTGCATCTTTTTGATATGAGGCATCCAGTTTGGGGTCAGGGACCATAACTACATACCTATACGATGGATGATGATATAATAATAGCATATGATTATGCCAATAATAGAAAAATAATACAGTGAATAAAATAGGAGAAATTGCAGATTACAGCCACCTCTTTTAAGGCTTCTTTCTTACAACTCAAAGTAGTATAGTGAAACACCGACATATTCCGTGTGTGTGGATACTGGCATGACCTCATGTGCCCAGGAGTCTGCGTGCGCCCGTGTAAATATATGGGATGAGCATCTAAGTGTGCGAAACAAAATAAACTAAACATATTATCATGAATTGGAGCATATATTGATGATTAATCCCTAACATTCTAGAACTAGGATTGCAGTTGAACTTCTCTCTTTACTAGGGATCAATCGACACTGACAAATGCTCCAGCTATGCCGTCTAGTCAAACCAGAGCCTTCTTGGGTCATCCTTACCTATTACCCTTAGCTTCTCAAAAGGTAGCTTATGCCTTTCTGTTTCCAACTTCAACCAACTGATTCTTCGCGCATTTGCTTCCCAATACTTTTGGATAGCAAGGTATTGCATAAAGTCGGCTTCTCTTAAAAAAGAACAATCAGGTATAACTAATAACGCAATGCAATGTATTTTTATCCTGCATTTCTCTTTCTGATTGATTTAGCGGGCCAAGGAATATCCAGCAGACTTAACTTCTTTAGTATAACAATTTCAAACCATATATTGCTAGTCAATCATTCCCTCCTCACGTATCATGCACTTTTTGGAACTCCATACACTATATTATTTGCTTATATTTTCCACCTGGTATTTAAGGAGACTATATCATATTTAAACCATTATATCTTGTTCCAACTACTAACAGTCTACAACTCTGATAATGTCGCCACAGAACTCTTTCTTTGAAGCTCACGTTTATTCTATTGACTATAAGCAGGTGCATTCAAAGCTCAATGTAGATTAACAACGAAATTTCCCAAAAAGAATATGCTTCATACGCATGTACCTTATGAAATATAAAAGAAGGACCAAATAGTCAATAAAATGTAAATCTTCCAAAGGAAATATGCTTCATGATCAATTATAGTTGGAAAACAAAATATGATTTATTGATGCCACTTTTCTAAGAAAATGTGTTTTTTTGGGGGGCTGTGGGGGAGGGGGGGTCTGCTCAATCATATGCTCTGGATATGGATAGTGCAAATAGACGAGAGCAACCGTTAAATTGTTATCCAGAAGGATGGGGCGTACCAGATTTAATACCACTTCGAAACTCGATCGCCTCATTTTTCATTATTTACGAATTTTCTGAGATTAAAAAAAAAAATCCTCCTCACATGCATGAAAGCAAAAGTGTTTTGAGTCTAAAAATATATTGTTTTATTTTAACTTTACAAAGTTCCAACAGTATCATGAATTAAAATTAAAAGGTGTAAAGCTGACACGAGATTCAACTTAAAAAAAACATATAACTATTTCCGATAGAGCTGTCTAGGGAACAAGTTGCTCATGCTAAATGCAAAATTCGTCGTACTAGGAAAAATGTTGACTATAGATTAATAACTAAGCCAGGTAAGCAAATAATAGTACATTGGGTAAGCTTCATATTAGATTTTGAGCGGTTTGGAAGTATGAGTCCAGTTTTGCATCATTATGTAAGGTCACAGTTCCAAGATATTTACTAATGCAGGAGATCACAATTTCAGAAAAGCAATAATCTTCAAAATTCTGAACAAGAAAAAACTCTCCAGATTAGGTACTTACATCCCTGCATTCTTAGCTGCAGCTACTCCTACCGGTGCATCTTCAAACACCAAAACATTGCTTGGGTCAACATTAGTCTGTATTAAACATCAATGTGTAGGAAGCCAAAAAAAAACGAGAATATGAGAAAACAATATGTAAGTAGTTAATTCCTGCTAATAAAGAATAAGGAAGATTATTTTACTAAATGTACCTCAAATCTTCTGGCAGCAACAAGAAAGCAATCAGGAGATGGCTTTCCCTTCTTCACTTCTGGATCATCACCCGTAACCACATGATGCATCATGGCGAAAATATTACCATGATTCTGAGTTTTCAAAGCAAAATGTCGTTTGTGGGATCTGGAGAGATATATGCAGGTGTGAGCTTAACGTTTGCAATAATTTCATAGTTTACATAGGTCAAATGCCCATGCAAGTGTATAAAAGTGACTTTAAAAAATAGTCACTAGTTTATGCAGAACTAGAATGTAAACAAAGTTGCGAGAAACAAAAAAAACTAGTAATAATTAGATTTACCCTGTCGCCACAGCCATGGGTACCCCATTTGCATGAAGATGAGTGATCAGGCGTTTGACACCTGCAGAAGAAATGATTCCAACAAAAAAACTTAAAACCCAACAGCAGATGATAATAAAAGCATTCACAATTTCTATTTTTTCCGATGAACATTCTTGAGAAATAACTAAGCATGTCCTTTGAATTCTGATGTGGACTGAATAGCTAGTGCTTCGCAAAGAAATGATGAACCTTCTACTGATCAACTCATAAAATCATTTTGTCAATTTCATCCGAACACAAGAACCATTAGTAAAGTTCCATCTCCATTGTTCGACCAAAAATACTTTGCAGTTGAAATCTGCATATCTATATATAGTTTACTGATGCGGAATCCTTGAATTGAAGATTGAAATTTTGCGCTGCTCGATGACAGAAAACTTACACAGATGGAAAGGGTACAGTTACAAGCATAGCCACGCCGTACAACATCATTCAATTTAATGTGCTGGTTAAATATAAGATAAATCTTAGACTTGAGTATTAGTCACTAGCTGGGTTAATCTGAGTGCTAAACAAACAATGGGCATCCTCCACAACCATAAAAACTACAACCCACGCCTGAGATTGAGCCATTCTCTCCAATAAAACCATTTCTTCTCACTGAGGCATTATATCAAACACCTTGTGTGCAAGAAATCTCACCAGGCATCTCCTTGCAATCGGGGAACATGTGCTGAAGCATCCCTTCCCTCTCTTCAAGAAAACCTTCGGGGGTCAGCTGATCAGCAATCCCCATCTCCTCAACGAAAATCTTGGCAGATTCAATGGCTTTCCTCCCCATCAGTTTGGGCTTCAGAGACCAATCGAAGGTCTTCCCAAATCGAGCCAGGATCTTCTCTTGCACCTCCGAGTAGAATATCTCAGTATCTAAGTCCAAAATCAGAACGACCCATCACTAGAAATTTCAATAAATAAAATTAAAAAAAAATGGTATTTTTTTGAGGTGTTTTATTACCGAGGAGAAGGCCGTCCATGTCGAAGACGACGTGGGTGATCGAGGGCTTAACGGATGAGTACAAACTCGCCGCCGCCGCCGTCGCCATTGTGGAGATCTGATGGGCTCTGTCGTGGGATTTTGATTTGAATGCTGAAAACGGGTAAAAGCAGCGACTTTCTTTTCTGTATGGGGTACCGATAGAGCAGATTGTTAAATATCTTAAAGTTTTGATCATTTGCAAATAAGAGGCTGTTTGGTTCGCTATTATAAGGGGTGGAAAACTCAGAAAACCCCTCCACGTCAGATTTTTAGTCCTCCACGTCAGTTTTTTTGTTTCCGTCCATTTCTTTGTGCCGCTTTGCAGTGTATGCGCGCGTCGGATTGGAAGAGGGAAAACTCGTTTGAAATCAGGTCCGCCACTCAGATTTTTTTCCCTCTCTTGATTTCTTCCCAAACCGAGTGAAATTGATGAAAACAATCTGTCACGTCAGATTTTTTTCCCTTCTCTGCTTAGTTTAGCAAAAGTTTTTCGCTTTTTTTCTATTCTCGAACAAACATAGAAACAATTAATACATTGGTTTCTCACTATTTTTATGTGCGAACAAAGTCATAACAATCACTATTATGAAAAAGTTGGAAACCTTTGAAAACCAAAATTTATAGTTTCTTTACATGGAATCGATTTCATATATACTATATATATAATATATATATATATATATATATATAATATATATATATATAATAATATATATATAATATATATATATATTATAAAATTTTTCCCTTTACAATTACGGAGATATTTGAACTAGATGGTGCACATCTATAATTTAAAAGGGTTTCCGTCTTGTTACACCCTAAATTCTTTAATTTATTGATTAGATATAATAGTTTAATTTCAGGTTGTTATCTACAATAACTTAATAGATTTTAGGGTGTAAATTATAAATATGAAGATTAGAAACCCTTTGCTTATTTTTAATAGTTTGTAAATAAGTTATTCTCTACTAGGAAAATCGTACAAATAAATACCATTTATGGCACGCCAATATTCGAATTAGAAATTGCGCATGTCCGACTTGTATTAGGCATTACTCTATAAACTATTAGTTCTCAGTATACATGTTTTACTCATACATCAAAAAGAGAAACTTAAGTCTATTTGTTGAGCTACATAGATATTTCTTGTACTACTCTTTTGCGTGTTTGCTAATTAACGCACACAGAAAATTGTTTTATTAGATTATTTATTGAAGTCCAAGGTGTTGAAGTTATTAAGAAAAAGAAAAATTTTAAAAAAAAAAAAAAAAAAAAAAAAAAACTAGTGATATTAATTCTGTATCACAAGATGGGTATACAAGTTTCGTCCATTCAGAGTTCAAGACTCAATTTCTAGTACTGATGATCATGCCTCAAAATACCACGCATAGATACCTCTTGGCTGAAAATTAAACACCAGAGTTGTCGTAAATGAAGGGAACATTGAACCCAAAATGAATACAAAAGATAAATATCGATAGCTTGAGTATGTTTAGGCCCTTTTTAACAAAGGATTAATGAAGAGGGATTAAGGAGAATGATTAACCTGTTATGTAAGTTTTTTTTAGCTATTTGTGATCAGTTTTAGTGTTGGGAATAATAATGAATTTGACTTTTTTTTTGTATTTTGAGGGGTTAAGTCTTATTCCTTCTAAATAGGAGTATTAGTAAACCCCTCATGTTGAAGGGTTAACTTATTTTAATTCATCTAGCTTAACCATTCTGTATTTTTTTGTCAAATTATGGAGAGTTAACTTACTTTAACCTTTATATAGGTTTTTTATGTTTTGACCTGTGTTATGGTGTTTTCAGTCACCAAAGTACGGTCCTTTTCCAACGACGGACATGTGTCCCCCCTGCATGTACCGCTCAAAGTCAGATCGACTGTCAAAGCAACCGAGGATCCCGACGTAGCCGACTCGTCGAGTCGACATCTCCCTAGGTCGACACGAATGGCGATACTTGTCGATCATCTTATCGAAGGTGACTCGCAACGAACCCACTCGACCAGTTACCCAGCGCCTAGCGAGGTCGACTCGAAAATCGTTACTTCTCGGCGGAGCTAAATGACGACTTCAGACTCGAGCCTCTCCCGCCGGCAACGTTCCAATTTTTCAAAGCCCAGTGCGCCTCCCTGCATGAGCTCAATGCCAGCCCAGCCCAATTGATATCCCAAAGCCCTATAGTACCCCTGCGTCGTTTCCTCCCTGGCTTCGACGGCAGCAAAACCCTAGCCCTAGTTTCCCCTGGCATCGCCAACTCCGTGCTCTCCTCCTCTTCATCCTCCTCGGTTTGCAGCCTTCGCATTGGACCACGCGATTAGATTTAGGGCTTCGATTCCATCGAGGGAGGAGATTCTAGGGTTTGGATCGACAGAAGGTGACGAGTCTATTCTATTTTTTATGTGACTATTTTTAACTAGTTTTACTTGCTGTTCCGATTAGTATTGTGATCAACCCAGCGATACATTTAATCAAGAAAACTGAAAGAAGAAATTATAGTTCTGAGTGGTTGCAATCGGATTTCTGCAAAACCTGCAACTGAAGTTGAACATCCTGAACTAAAGAATCTTCTTAGTTATCCAATTGGGCAAGTTCAACCGTATGCAGTTCAAAACCTGCAAGAACCATAAATCTTTGCGGAGAATAGTACAACACACTTTAGTATTACTTTGTAATGTTAATTAAAAAATTTACAACCTTTTTTGCATTTTCTATCATAAACAATAACCTCGAATTGCTGCACAGAAAAATGTTATGTACGTGGTTAAATTTTTTTTCCACCATCTTCGATTAGGTTACAGAATTTCAAATCTTTCTTCTTCTTTTGCCCCTCTTATTTTTGGACGCGAATTAAAAGAACTCCACATGCCCAACTCTGAGCAGGAAACAATTAGTATTGAGTACAAATCCAGCTTCTTATCTCATTGTACAGATTGGAAATACCAAGTATTTTATTCCCAATAAATTTCTGTTTTTATTATATTTATTTCTTAGTTTGCTCCCCTTGCTCCACAATCTTAGGTAAAACATACCAACTGATGTTAGGACGTCTCGAATCTTGTAGATTGCTCTCTGTGGATAGGGTGCTCAACTGGAAAAACATTGCATCAGTGCAGCATGTTATTGGTATTTGCATGAGAACGCATTTTCATTTATTTATTTGTTAGGTAGAAGTAACAAAAGGACATAGCAGTATTTTTGTTTCTTTTCACCTGAAATCGTGAAACACAACTAAAAAAATCTATAAAGTTAATTCGTGTTTTGAAAGGTAGCTGCAGAGATACTAGACTCTTGAATCAAACATTTCAATGTCATCTGGTATTAGAAAGGTAACATGTACTCGCTAAATGTGTGATATTTGCCATCGGGATGATGTGAAATCTGGACTCCAGCTAGCTTCAAGTATCTAGATAATTAAATTGCTTTTGTTGTAGGTCGATGTTGATCAAGTGGTTTAGTTTTATTTTCAGCTAGAAATGTACTTGCCTGATCTCTGTGTTCATGGTGCTTTCTTTGTTAGGCGGTTTCAGATTGGATTTGCAAGAGAGATGGGACCTTTCTGCTGGAAATTGTGACGTGGTTGGGAAAGGTCAGCCTGATTGTAGTATTTTTCTAACCATATACCTTCACTTATACACTTTTATCTTTGTGGCAGCTAGTCGAATCCTTTGAGATCCACTAACAGACCCATTACATTTTTATAGCCTACACTTGAGATCCAAATTCATTAACAAAGCTAGAACCCAATAGAGAACCATATCTAATACCATGAGAATTGTCTATCCTCAAGCTCCCATGAGGATCACTAAGCTCCCGAAGCAATGAAGAAGATACACCTGTATCACTGCATTCTTGTTTGTGGATCCTGCGAAAGAACGAAACCATGAGTGGAGTATGGACAAATACATTTGACTTTTCGAGATAGGTGACAGAAAATGTTATCTCACGCCGATTGATCACCACTACCCTCTTCGGTATTTCGAAGCAGCGACCGAACGCCAACAGATGAATTGTCAACTAACATGTATAAAGTCATTTATTGCTATGGGTAAATTCACCAAGGAGTATTTTACATCAAATGAGAAACTGATTGCATTTACCAGACCTCTCCTCTGGATGATGGGAGCAAAACATCCGCCCTGGAAGAAGTCCAGTGAATGCAATCAGTTTCCCATTTGATACGAAATACTCCTTGGTAAATTTACCCGCAGTAATAGACAAGCTCTTATGTGTTAGTTGACAATTCATCTGTTAATGTTCGGTAGCTGTTTTAAAATACTGAAGAGGGCAGTGGTGATCAATCGGCGTGAGATAACATTTTCTGTCACTTATCTCGAAAAGTCAAATGTATTTGTCCATACTCCACTCATGGTTTCATTCCTTCGTGGGATCCACAAACAAGAATGCGGGTTTGTCTAGGGTAGAACCAGTGAGAATTGAGCATCCGTAATTGTTGATGACTAAGATCACACAGTCAGTTGGATCCAGAAAAAGGATCGGTTTTGTTTTGTATTGAAGAGGGTCACTTCCTTCTCTGACTTTATGACTCGTTCTTGAGTTGGGGTGTTGAACAACCTGCACATGTAGAAATCCGTAAGTGGATGGGGTTGGGTTCCCCCGTTGTATCTCCAACGATCAAGTTAGTTGAGTGGGATAGAAAAAGAAATGTTATCTTCTTTATTGTGCAGATTTGGTGTTAGAAGATCAGATTTTTCCATCTCTTTTATGTTAGAATGGTACATGTATTTATACTCAGTGCGTAAGGGACAGTCTTGACACTTCAGCTGAGTACAGTAGGGCGGTGATAAAGTGTGGACTGGCAGCTGAGTTAGCTTCTGCTTTACGGGTGTCGGCTCGCGATTGACAGGTAGATCACCTCGGCATTAAATGTGAAGTGATTGGCAGTGTTGTAGAGCCCACGTGGTCCGATGAGTCATGAATACATCGAGGCTAGAGGCATAATGCTCCTGACACGCATTAAATGTGAGGTGGACATGTTGTCAGTGTGGATAGCTTTGTCGAGAAGTAACGCCTTTTGAGTCGGTTTCATAGGGAATATCGACTCGACGAGTTGGCTAAGTCAAACTCTTTATAGGGTTTGGGCTAGCCAGTTGATTGAGGCAAGATGCATTGAAATATCGTAGAGCTTTCATTGTTAATACGCCATATGTCAGCGAGT